CAAAGATGTTTTTACACGTATGGCTGCATCTAACGCTTTGGATGTTCAAGCTGAAGATGTGACCAAAGGACTTAAAGAAAAGACGCAACAATTAAAAGAAAACGCAAAAGAGAAAGGATACGAAATGATGAAAAATGTGGAAGGTTTCATAGATAAAGTAAGTTATAAGACGTCGTGATTTGAATGTCTACATTATTCATTGTAATTTTAACTCTTTGTTTGGGAAAGGAATTTGATCCTACTAGCGAATTTGATCCTCCTAGAGAACAAAGCGACAGACAACGAGAATCCAAAGAAAAATTGGCTAATCCGAAACCCATCGATCGCCACCCTAAAGGACCAATTGAAGAAATTAAACAATCTGCTCATGATGTTGCTGATGCGCAGAATAAAAATGATTAATTGCACTAGAATTCATATTAAGATTAGCAGATTACTGTATATTGTATTAAATTGTTCCATAACGATTTAATAATTACATTTTAAAAATTTTGCGATAATGAAAAAAATATGTACATATGTACGTACATGCCTTGCAAGGGAGAAGGAAGTGACAAGTATTATGAAATTAAAAATACAGTAGGCACGAAATAGATCTGGAAATAATTGTAAATCTTTCGCCTTTTATAACTCGAGAATTACTGGTTCAATTTCGATAATTTTGTGCTTAAACGAATGCTACAAGCTGTAGGACTTGTTTAAACCCAAGATAATCGAAAATGGATCGACATATGACCATTAAACAGTGATACATGCTAAAGTTAGAGTAAGAAGCCGATGCAAATAAGTAATTCCTCTATTAGCTTAATGCAGATGTTTTATAAATGACTAACCAATCCATTTGGTCTTAACTGAAAGCTATCGCTATGAATAGCATTTATGTACAAATTTATCGAAAATGAATCAAGGTATCAATGCACCATGGAGATCATTCATCATATAATAACGATAATAATCTTGCAAATGACAATCCGTTCTTGACTATTTTGAGTTACCCATTCTTAAAGACTAAAAAAATTTGTTGTATATGGGTTTTTCGGATCTTTTTCGCGCCCACAGTAATAAAACGAAAATTTCGAAAATTCTTAAAATTATGATTTTTACTACCGTTTGCGCAAAGCAACTCTGCAAGGGTGATCATTGAAAGTTCAAATACGTGATGTAAAGTGACGCTATCAAATTTACGAACAAGAGTATATAAAACTTGTTTAGGAAAATGTGAGCCCGCATGCAAACTTTATTTTTTACTTATTAATTGCACTTTTATTACATAATAATAATTTCAAACTGGTAATTTTCTAGTTTTTATATGAGTACACCAAGAGAAAATCAGATTATGGGCTTTCAAGTTTGTTTTATTTACCAGACTCGGCCCTAATCAGACATATATAATAGGTAATTTAGTAAGCATGGTTTGATTGGCGTGCATCTATGTGCCCCAAACCAGTTTGAAAGCCGGTATCCAGCCAATCAACATCAATTATGTAGATACTACACGAACGATCGGTGTGTAACGTTAAAATTAAAAAATAAATAGTTTATTTCAAAAATCGTTAATATCTCGAAATTTTGCATATGAAACTATCTTTTGCGTTATAACAAAAAAAATTCCTTTCAAAATTCTGGTACTCTTTTTCTAATTTTGATTAACATTAATTGTCAACAATGATGATCATTTCTATTTTGGGTGGGGTACATAGATTTACTCGGTTTGATTGCAAGAATTTTGGCAAAAATTAAAATTGATTTTTATTATTTAAACTAGTAATAGAAATTATTTAAGTGTTTTTGAAGATTAAAAAAAAAAAATTAAGTGTTAGTTGATTAAATTAATTAAAATTAATTATTTGATTATTAAAGAAATATTATTATAGTGCTATAGTGCTACTTTATATATAAATACAAAATTGATATAACATGTAAATAAAAATAATCTAGTTTTTACAGTTTGGGATAGCAAAACATATCTACTTTTTATTAATAAAAGCTTTAAATCATTATAACTTTTTCAAAACAAGTTAAATCAAAAAACTTTTTGACAAATTGATAGATTTTTAACTAAATTATATTTCTGTTAGAGGATTTTTTATTATTATTATTTATTTTTTTTTTTTTTTAATTTGGCGATTCTGCCTATTATTCTTTATTGGGAAGTATCAGAACTTATATCAACAGGAAGATACAATTTTCTATACTATATTCCACATGAGTAAAGATCAACTCGAGCTAAGCTCAGAAAATAATTCACCTAGTAGCAATTGGTTTCACATTGGATCCTCAACTTACTGAGGATATGAACCCTCCAATCCTTAGCCTTAGCAGCTGCATGCTTTATCAAAAGAGCCAAATTAACAAAAGCATAAACACAAAAGAAAAAATAAAACAAAGATAAAAGGAGAATACGATAAAAGATACAAGCAAGAAATAAAAAGAGATAAGAAGATATCAAGAAAAGAAAAAAAAATTTTGCCTATCCTAATGATTATTATTATAAGCCCGTAAATGGTTTGTAAAAATTACATACTATTAAATAAAATAATTTCTACTTTAAATTTATCTAAATAGTATATGAAAGCTCAAAACCAGTAGAAAAATACTTCTTCGACCAAAAAACATAGGGGTCGATACTCAATCCAAGTCATAGAATATTGCTTAATCGGATTGTTGCATTCGAGGCACGTGTCTTGACGTGTTTGTTGTCCTGTTATACCGATTTAAGAAATAAACAATGCTAACTGTTTTGATGTACGTAATATCAATCTTTTGGAGTGAGTAAACTAAAATGCCCACTTTTTACAAAAATTTTCTCAAAAAAAAGTGGTAGACCAATGAGAATATGTGAGGTTCTTCTTGTAAAAGTTATAGTAGTATAGTTTAGTTCCTCTGTTTCTACTAGATATTTTTGCACAGGAACCTGACAGGGATGTTGCTCCTAAAATATTTTTTGGTTTGGATGTCAAAGATATGAGAGAGTTTACTTCTTTTTCCTTGCTATTCCCAGAGACTTCTCCGATTTGGATTCCAAACACACAAAAGAATCCACCATATATGGAAAAAGCTTGACCTTAATGCAAACTGTCCACAACGTCCGCACCTCAGTATATCATATTTAAGAACTTTGTTGACAACAGTTTGTAAAAAAAAAGCTTGACCGTAATACCAAATCCACTTTTTGTTTATACGCTCGCTCTTTGGTATTTCATGTATATATTTAGTCAATAGCAAGTATTGTAAATATGTAGCAAGAGTATCGTGGTGTTCACTTTGTCACTTTTCTATAACTTTAACTGTAGTTTGATTTTTTTGTTGTTGACCAAGAGATCGTTGAGAAGAGTTCGAATATTTGTATTATTTTTTAATTTAAAAAATTGGTGTTTAATATAAAAAAAAGAAAAGATATATATTTAATTAATCAATTAGAATCGATTATACAAAATTAGCCAATTATAATTAATTACATAAACATCAAAATTGGTGCCTCATATGTATAGAGTGAATGCTTTATGCTGTTTTAAACTGTACAAAAAATAAATATTTTAATTATACAAAAAAATAATTTATAACTAATTTTTTAAAAATTTATTATTTTTGTTACACAAAGA